ACATTACATATCACTCTACAGTACTTTTTTCATTCCCCGTGATATTATTGTATTGTTAGCATCACTGGCCATGCTATATTCTTTTTATATTGTAATCCACTGTCTTACTGCAGTTTCAACATTACCCATCAGTCTGTATTGCCTCCTGGTAATGACCCCTCAGCAATGAGCTGAGTCATTTCCAAATGAGGGGCAGTGGGCGCTGGTGGTGAGACCTTCACTGACCTGGCAGGGGTGCAGAAGATGGTAGGAAGCACCTGGGGGTCCCCCACCAGGGATGGGGCTGGCAGCTGGGGCCAAGCTGGCTAATTCTATTTGGACACACCCAGTATGAAGGGAGCAGGTGTTGAGGTGAAGCAGTCGCTGAGGCTGACGAGACATCCGGCCTGCAAAGGTGCAGGCTGGGCTTCAGATCTGGTGGCTGCCTGTGTGGGGAGGCAGGTGAAGCTCTCAGAAGATTTGGGGTTTCTGAAGAAATCAGAGGTCTCCCTAGAGAAGGTGCCTCTGCCCCTCAGTGTGACCCCTCTGCCTCAGTTCCTCATCTGTAAAGTGGAGGAGTCCCACCTCCTGAGATGTCTGTGTGGGTCCATGGAGACTGCACTGGACATTTCCCAGCCATTTCCAAGTTTCTCTTTGGCTGGGGAAGCTTTCCAGAGCAGATAAGAGCTTGGACCCTACAGTCGGTTACACTTAGGGTTGAATCTTGACTCTGAGTGCAGTCCTGGCTGTGCATCCTTGCCCAGCACTTTGCCCTCTCTGGGCCTCAGTGACCTTGTCCTGCAAATGGGCTACAGAGCCCATACCTGTCACTGTCCTAATCCGATTGGGAGAGCAGGAGATACCAGATTACCTAAATCCGTTTGGGCATTGAGTTCCAGGAGCAGGGGTGAGAATTCCGATGATTGAGCTTTATCCAACATATATTCAACTCAGTGTGCTTCCGGAGGTCAGCTGATGTGGGAAGCCTGGACTGTCTCTATCCTTGGGGTTGTTTCAAAGAGTCAGAGAGATGCTCAGGTAAAGAATTTAGCACAGAGCCTGGCTGAGAGCATGCATTCACTGCATGGGACACATTCATGGTATCTTTGGAGTGAAAGAACGAACAAACAGTTGAGGTGTGGAACCCTGTCCCCAGCTCCTCCTGCAGGGAAGCAGGGGAGAAGCATCCAGCCCTGCACCCCCCCTTCCCTGTGGTCCAGAAAACATTGGTGCCATCTGCACCGGGTGTAGCAGCAGAAAGTGCCCACTCCCAGGGGAGGAAGACCACATGGGAACAGCGGGGAAAATGAGATCCTGACCATCCAGAAGGAGGGGACCAGGGATGAGGAGTGGACACTTGCGAAATCCGGCCGAGGACGCCACAGTGGCCTTCCGCTCTGGTCCCCTGGCTGAACGCGCTCCCTTTACAGTTTAAATTTAGGCTCAATGAAAGGAAGCTGGTGTTGGCAAGAGCCAGGGCTGCGGAAAGGATAGAGTGTTTCCAGAAAACGTCAGCGAATAGCCAACACTTAACGCGGTGCTGACTGTGGGCACATCCACGCATGTTACAGATGTTAACTCGTTTTCTCTTCCCAGCAACCCTGTGAGAAGGCATGAGTATTATCATCCTTATTTTACAGAAGGAGAATAGAGGCCCAGAGAGGTGGAGTCATTTGCCTGAGGTCACACAACTAGTAAGAGGCAAAGATAAGATTTGAACCCTGACAGTCTGGTCTCAGAGCCCCTGCTCTTAACTACTGTGCTGTACTGCCCCAATAATAACAGTAATTATATTAATAATAGTAAACATGTATCAAATGCTATGTATATGTCAGGTACTGTTCTAAGGATTTTTAGAGCTTGTTTAATTCTCACAACACTCCCATGAAAGAGATATTGTGATTATGAACTTTTTAAAATCATTTTTTGTTGTTATTTTTATTTGGGGATTTTATTTTATTTATTTATTTTTGGCTGCGTGGGGTCTTCGTTGCTGCGCTCAGGCTCTCTCTAGTTGCGGCGAGTGGGGGCTACTCTTCGTTGCGGTGCGTGAGCTTCTCGTTGCAGTGGCTTCTCTCATTGTGGAGCACAGGCTCTAGGCGCACGGGCTTCAGTAGTTGTGGCTCGCGGGCTCTAGATTGCAGACTCAGTAGTTGTGGCACGTGGGCTTAGTTGCTCCGTGTCATGTGGGATCTTCCTGCACCAGGGATCGAACCCGTGTCCCCTGTATTGGCAGGTGGATTCTTAACGACTACACCACCAGGGAAGCCCTCCACTTTTTATAGTTGGTGAAACGGAGACCCAGAGAGGTTGAGTCACTTGCCCAAGGTCACACAGCTGGCAAGTGGTAGAGCCAGGATTTGAACCTGAGTCTTCTCCTTGTAGAGCTACAGCTCTTGGGCACCTACAACCACCTGAATGACACAGAGGACCCTCGAGTTACACAGGGAGGCAGGTTGAGGGTGATCCCGAAGCCCGTCCAAGGCTGGTTATTGAGAATCACAGTAACAACGATGGCTCTAGGGAAGCAGCCTGGCCTCGTTTGCAGACCAGGACCAGAGAGGTCAAGCCACTTGCCCAAGCTTGCACAGCAGGCTCAAGGCACACTCAGGCTGCCACCTGACCCTGCCCGGCCCCTGCAGCCAACAGAGACATGGCGTCCATCGTGTCTGAGATCATGATGTACTTGCTCATCGTGGTGTTGACCATATGGTTCGTGGCAGAGATGGTTTACTGCTACAAGAAGATCGCTGCTGCCACGGAGGCTGCTGCACAGGAGAACGCGTGAGTGGGGTCGCTGAGGAGGGGGAGAGGCGGCCCAGGACAGCCAGCGCTTCCCAGAGGGGAGCATGAGCTGAGTGGGGAGGTGGGCAGGGGAGCAGCCCAGGGCGCCATCTGCCGGTCCTCCCCAGAGGGGACCATTTGGTGTCAGAGATGGGATGAGGTCCCAGCCCTTCCCCCCTCAGACTCTCAGCCTCCACTTCTGTCAGGACCCAGGGTTCGGGCCCAGCATCCTCTGCCCCAAAGATACAGGACTCCAGGCCCTAGCCCTTGAACCTCCCAGTCCCTGCTCCCTCAGACTCAGACTCCAGGCCCTCAACCCCTTTCCCCGCTAGAACCCAGGAGTCTAACCCCCCAGATGCCTCCTCCCTCACATTCAGGACTGCAAGCCCCAGCCTGGGCTTCTTTAGGATCCCTGGGAGCCAGCCAGCCAGCCCCCTCTTCTCTCTGACTGGAGCCCTGTGCACCTGGGACAGAGACCGCAACCCTCCTTGGCCTCCGGGGGGTGGGCCAGACCGACGGTGGGGTTGCTGTACCCCTGACCTTTGCCCCCACAGCTCAGAATACCTGGCCATCACCTCAGAAAGCAAAGAGAACTGTACGGGCGTCCAGGTGGCCGAATAGCCCCGGTAAGGTGGGCTGGGCAGGCAGGGGCTGGAGGGCCTGGGAGGTGTCAGCCATTAGGTGCCTGATGCCCTGTATCTCCCTCACCTTTAGGCCCTGGGCTCCGCCTCAAGGAAGAGCCAGCCCTAACGGGGAACATCCGGGCACAGCCTGCCCCCAATGGGGGTTGGCCATTCCTGGGCCTCCACAAGCCTCAAAGTCCTGCCAACGGAGCCTCCAGGGTGGGAGAGGGCAGGGGGCTTGGCTCACACCCCGAATCCAGCCTCTTCCTCCTGCCCCATCACCCGCCCGCGCCGTGCATGATGGGTAAAGCAATACTGCCGCTGCCCCCATGCCTGCTTCTGCTGCCTGTTTGGGAGGGGGCGGTGAGGTGGGGGCAGCGGCTCCGCACCCCTCTTTCTTGCTGATTTGCACACATTGGCCGCTTTGGACGCGCACTACTGGGGCCCAGCCCCTCCCCGCCCCCTCCCCGCCCGGTGAGGGTTATGATGGGCTGGAACAGCTCGGGACGGGGGGTTCTGGGACCTGCTCCGACCCGCAGCGACATTTCCCCTCCTGCTTCCTCTGGCTGGACCTGGGGTCTCCTCTCCCTGTGATGCACTCTCGCCCCAGCCCAACCCGCCGTCTCTCACCAGCCTTGGATTGTGGCCACTTCGAAAGGGGCCCATTCAGCCTCGTCTCTCTTTACACAAGTAGTTTTGTTCATGAAATAAAGATTCTTGGACTTGCTTCATAGTCTCTCTCGTGAGCCCAGTCACCTTCTACACCCCCTCCAGATCCAGGAGCCTCAGTTTTCCTGGGGACCGGGCCTCCAGGGCAGGCAGCAGGGCCTCTCCACACACGTTCGGGGATACGATGGTGGCAGTGTCTCAGGCTCAGCGCCTGCCTGAAGGCTCAGCGGGTACAGCCACTTGGTACTTGATGAATGTGTTGGGGTCTGCGGGGACCAAGAGTTTCGAGGGAGCCAGCAGGAGCCAGGGAAGCAGACTGGTAGCCGGTGTCAGCGGGGGTGATGAGGGGAGGAGAGAGAGGGCCATGAATGGAGAGAGAGGAGGAGAGGCTAGGGGCTGGGCAGTGCCAAGGCTGCCCCAGTGTGGCCCCCTGTGGGAGGCTGTGGCTGTGAGTACAGGGGGTGCGAGGGGTGAGCGAGTGGGTCCGACTGTACAGGGACGGCCCATCTGGCGTGAGCAGCCGTGGTCTGACTGTGTTTGAGGGCATGGCTGTCCACAGGCAGGTGTCTGCTGGTGATCCTTGTGTGTCTGGGTGTTTATCTGGCCCTGGGGTGTGACGTGGATGACTCTTGGCTGCTGGCCAAGAGTGTCTGATGCGGGACAGTGTGTATCTGCCTCTGGACACTTCCGGCCACTTGGCCTGGGCCTCAGCACTCAGTGCTGCCTTTTCCGGGCCAGGTCCCCATCCCCCACCCCCGTCTAGGACTTCCCAGCTCCAGAGGTCATTGCTGCTGGCGGCAGAGAGGCTGCCAAAGCAAACCAGCCCCCGTGACTTGTAGGAAAGCAGCTGGGGGGAGGGGGGTGGGGGGGGAGGGAGAGCAAGGGCGGGGGCAGGCGTCGGGACTGGGGCTGGGCTGGGGACACTGGAGGGGCAGAGGCTGGTGCAGGAGTTGGGGTGCGGGAGGGGTCTGGGGCACGGGCTGGGCTGAGGCTGGCCTGGAGCTGGGACCGCCTTGTTCGGGAGTTGGACAACAGGTGCAGGAAATGGCAGGGGCAGTGGTGGGCCTGGGGCTGGGCAGAGGGTGCCGGAAGGGGCAGGGGTGGACAGGGACGGGGTTCAGCCTGAGCTGGGGCAGGGCGGGGGCTGGGCAGGAGGCAGGCGAAGAAGCCGGGGCAGGGTGGGCTTGGGGCAGCTGGTGCCCTCCCTCTGTGTCCCTGCAGTTCGTAGCTCCTTCCGTTGGTCCTTGGAAGCACCCCCAGCCTGCCCTGTCTCCCCAGACCCCCGGCCCTCAGGCCAAGCCAGTCCCAGCTCCTCGTCCCCTCAGCCCCGCACACCTGAGCCCCCTCCAGGCCGGAGGCAGGTTGCTGGGCCGGCCTGGTCCATCCCCTGCAAACCCTGTCCCACCAGCCAGGTGGCCTCCAGCGCTGCCAATCCCTTTGCCCGGCCCCTCCCCGCCCCTTCCCCCGCCTCTCGCCCAGCCCCCTCCTCCTCAGGTGAGGCAGCCAGGCCTAGCAGGCCCCGCGCCACCGCCGCCGCTGCCTCTGGGGCCGCCGCTGCTGAGGGGCCACCATGCTCCTGCCCAGGCCTGGAGACTGACCCTAAACCGGCACCATCTCTCAGCTCCGCCCCCACCTGCCGGACCCCAGGGTAAGGACCAGGGTCCTCAGTTCCAGTCCCCAGGACGTGGGCCCCCTCACCCAAACCTGCCCTAATGCTCAGCTCCCAGTAGAAGGGCTCCCAGGGACCCGGAGGGTGGGCTGTCAGGCTTCTCCCCAAGGAGCTCAGAGTCCCAGCCCCCTGTTCTTCAGACTCCAAGATCGGCCCCGGTCTCCTCCTCCCTCAGACCCCGGAATCCAGGCCCCTGTGTCCCTCCTCCGAAGGAGGGCTGGCCCCCAAACCTCTTTCCCCAGGACCCAGGAGTTGAGGCCCCAGCTCTCCTCCTTCAGACCCAGGAGTTCAGAGCCCTAGTCTCCTCCTCACCCAGGCCCAGGCGTATGGGGTCCCCCAGGCCTGCAAATCCAGGCATCCCCCTGGCCGCTGGTCACACACTGACCCCATCCTTGAACCCAGCCCAGTCTGTGTCCGTGATCATGGCGTGCTCTGGCCGGGGCCCAGTCCCTCAGCCTCCCTGGATGGGCGCCTGGGACTGGGGGCACAGGGGCTGGCCTGGACTCCCCCAGGCCCTGCCTCCCCCCGTTCATCTCCCCACAGGTCCCGCCCCGGCCCAGGAGGTCAGCCGGGGAATCATTAACTAGAGGCCGTGACATGGCGGAGAAGGAGGGTGAGTCCCCCTTTCCCTGAGCCCCAACTTTGGCTCTGCCTGGCGCCCTTCCTTCTGTGCTTCCTTCCCAGCCCTCCACCCCCTTGGAGCCCCCTCTCTCTGGCACCCCTCCTGGGGCCCATCCCCACCCGCTTCTGAAGTCTCCTCTACCTGATTAACTATTAACCAAATTTTCTGTGGGGCTGTGGCACCACCTGCCTCCCTGCCACCCCATATGACCTTCCTGGCTCCTTGCCTCAGTTTCCCCTCATCCCCCAGTGATCTCTCAGCTATCCCTGGACCTGTCCTCTACTTGGGGCCAAGGCAGGGAGACTAGCTATCACAGTTAAGGACACAGACTCCGGAGTCAAATACACAGGCTTGCATTCGAATTGGCTTCTGCCACTTTTTTGCTGTGCCACCTTGTGAAAGTGTCGTCGTCTCTCTGGGCTTCATTTCCCCCCTGGGTCAAGCATGGATTCTAATGCTACCCGCCTACCTACCTCCCTACCTCCCTACCCACCTACCTGCCTACCTACGTGAGGTTGTTGGGAGCACGTAACACACACAAGGCACCCGCATGGGGCTCAGCGTGTAAGACAGATGCGGTGCACCAGAGCTGTCGTGGAAGAGGTCGGCCAACTTGGAGTCCTGGGACCCAAGACCCCCACCGATTCCAGACATTCCTGCCACCTCCTCACACTGTGGGCAAAACAGCAGAGGGAGGACTTTGGACTCGGTCCGGATGGATGGAAAGGGGAGAGACAACAGAGAAACTGCTCCAGGGATGGTGGGGAGAAACCACATCCTCAGAGTGGCGGGCACTCGAGGGCTCATGGAAGCCCCTGGCAGGGGCTCCAGACACCCTGGCTCCTTCTTACCCTGGTCCACACTTGGGAGCCAGCTGGAGGGGCCCAGTTAGGGGTGGCCTTTCCTTTCCACGCTCCCCAGCTGGGGCCGACTCCCTCTCTTCTTCCTGGAACCAGGCTAGCTGGGTTTGGTCCCAGGCAGTATCACTTTCTAGCTGTGAGGCCCTGGGCAGGTGACTTACCCTCTCTGGGCCTCGTTTCTTCCTGTGTAAAATGGAGACAGTACTAGTGCCCACCTCAGAGGATGGTGTGAGGATTTACATGCCGTGATAGGCAGGAAGCCCTGAATGTGCTGGCGGAAATGATGGGTGTAGATTACTGGCCTCTTTGGGTCTCAGCACAGCTAGCAAATCAGAGCCCAAATCATTCAGCTGTGGCCCGGAGTAAATCCAGGCTCCCAGTGGCTCGGGAGAAGGTGCTTGTGCCCTTGCGGAGCAGGTGGGCAGCAGAGCCCTGCACCTTTGGAACCATTCCTTCCTGGAGCCCGCTGAAGGGATCTCACCAGGCCTGGGGCCTACGGGTGAATGAACCAGGGATGAAAAGCAGAGCATGTGCTGAAGGATGGTCAGAGACTGGCCTGGGGACAGAGAGAACCGAGGCACAGTGGGCTTCAGTGCATACCCAGGCAGCTCGGGCCTGGCCCTGGAGGGGAGTCCTGCTGTCGTTTCAAACCTAGACACGAATGCTGAAAAGTTCTGGCGTTGTGGTTACTTGCTGGGTGACCCCGGGTGGGTGGCTGCACCTCTCTGGGCCTCCTTTCCTCATCTGTAAATTGGGGATGGTGATAATGACACCTTCCTCATTAACAGTTGCAAGGATTTTAGGAAACTGCAGGATGGGGTTAGGACAGGGCTAAGGTCGGTGTAGCTTCTGAGAACCATTGTGGCTGCAGTTGTGCTAATGTTTGTGTTACCATTCTGCTGGGTTTTTAACAAATAAATAAATAAATCTATTTATTTATTTATTTTGGGCTGTGTTGGGTCTTTTGGGCTGCGTTGGGTCTTTGTTGCTGCGCACGGGCTTTCTCTAGTTGCAGCGAGTGGGGGCTACTCTTTGTTGCGGTGCTCGGGCTTCTCTTGTTGCGGAGCGTGGTCTGTAAGCGTGCGGGCTTCAGTAGTTGTGGCACACGGGCTCAGTAGTTTTGGCTCGTGGGCTCTTGAGCTCAGGCTCAGTAGTTGTGGTGCACGGACTTAGTTACTCCGCGGCACATGGGATCTTCCCGGACCAGGGATGGAACCTGTGTCCCCTGCATTGGCAGGCGGATTCTTAACCGTTGCACCACCAGGGAAGCCCCATTCTAAGGTCAGGTTTGGTGCTTCCTGGAGACTTAGAATCAGAGGAGGTGATATCTGAGTTGACATTCAGGATGAGGAGGGAGTAGGTAGGTGTGCCAGGCAGAGGGAAGAGCAAGGCTAACAGCCGGGGTGACAATCTGCCCAGTGTGCAGTGGCACGTAGCTAATTTCGTATTTCTGTCGGTAAAGTTGGAAATGTAACTGGGAGGGTGATTGAGATCCGTTAGGACTCTTTTTGGTGAGAAGCTGGCCCATGACTGGGCAGTGCCGGGTCTCTCCACAAGGTGGCGCTGGTGGGTATTCTTTGTTTTATAAGTCCTGTCGTTTTGGTTGCTTTTTGGACCGGCTTATCAGTTGTCTGATAAGGACCCATATGGCTGTGTGGGAATTTAGGAAAGCATGTTCAACCCCCAAATCTCTAATAGCCATGCTTACATCCCAGAGGGGCTGGTACCACGGGCTGAGGGCTTTAGACTCTGTCCTGGGGAGCACTGGGGAGTCATGGAGGGTAGGGACAGGTTGGATTTGGTGTTTAGGAAGATTCCCTGGGGTTCTACGTGGAGACTGGGCCAGAAGGAGAGACTGAGCCCAGGGGTTGGATGGGGTGGGAGCAGGGAAGGAAAGAGTGGGCGGGAGACACTTAGGAGGCCTGTAGCTGAGGTGGGAGGGAGGCGTCCTGCAGATGAGGGACATTCCTGAGGATGAGGGCCTCTGAGACGGGACCTGGGGATTTGGGGAGACATTGAGGCCAGTATGGGACCTGGGAGGTGTGAAGGACCTTGGGGATTCAAGTGGGAGGCATCTAAGAGACTGCAGGACCCCCGATCTAGGACAAAGGAGAGTCCAGGGCTGGGGACAGAAAAGGGACACAGGCTGTGGAGGTGTGTAAGACAGACGGGAGTGGGGAGGCATGAGGGGGAGGAGGCCATGGCCGCCCTGGGGACCCCAGATTTCAGGGAGTGTGTGGAGGAGATGGAGAAGTAGGGGGAGAATCAGAATCGGGCACGGGCGGTGTCCCAGAAATCAGACGGGGAGAGACTTCTGTTCAGGAAGCTGGAGTTGTGTACAATGAAAACAGACACGGAGCTGTAGATTGAATGGAGTTTCAGAGACAAGGAGCCAAAGATGTCACTTGGGAGGGTTTTGCAGCCAAATGGTGGGGACAGAAGCACTGTCCTGTGAGAAGACAAGGGCAGCCTAGCACCCTTGGAGGAACAGAGAGCAGAGCCTCAGGGGGAAGCTCGGGGGTCCTGGCTTACCCAGCCCTTTCGCCCCTGAGGAATCACGCAAGGATGCTGCTGCCTCTCGCACAGTGAGGACGCTTTCCTGCCTCAGCAAAGATATGCAGTGAGAATGCCTCTCACACCAGGGACCCAGAGCGAGGATGCTTCCTGTCCCACCAGAGGCACCTGTTTGGGGGTTGCCCGAAGTCCCCTGAACCAGAAGGCATGAAAGCAAGTTTTGCCTCTCACCTTAAGAGACACAGGGTGGCAATGCTTCCTGCCCCAGCAGACGTGCCAAAGCCTCTGGGCTGGGCTCTGAGTGGCCCAAAGCTCTGCAGGCACATCTGAACAGAAAGGAACCAGGACGAGCCTGACGGCTAGCAGAGCCAAGACCTCCCACTGGAACCAGGAAGATGGTTGGGGGTGGAGGTGGGGACCTCTCTCCTCAGGGAGACAGGAAGGGGTCAGCCAGCCAGGGCTGGGCTGGCCTGGTCCACTGGGGCCTCTTTGGAAGGAGGAGCACGTTGCCGGGAATGGCTGGGCTCTCAAATTCTTAAGACACTCAGACAATAGGCATCCCAGGAAGGTGCTGGACTGCTCCCTGCTCCATTCCGGGTGCTGGCCTGGCCCTGTGCCCATCAGCCGTACTGCCACGACACAGATGGCAAAGCTGGGAGGGCCTGCAGCCCTGGGAGGGCCTTGCAGATGCCAAGGGCAGTCGGGTGCATGCCAGGCCCAGCAAAAGCTTTCAGCTGCCTTTTCCCTTTGGTTCTCCTGATCTCTAGCAAAAGGGTTGGCTTTTCAGCCCCAGGGCCCCTGTTGCACTGGGAATAAAATCCCTCTTGTCTGGGGGCTGCCAGCCCTCCCCAGCTGGCCCCAGCCTTGGTCCCACTGCCTTCCCCAAGCTCATGCCATTCTGGCCACATCAGTGGCCTCTCTTGCCCTCTAACCCACCATGCTTATTCTTGCCTCAAGGACTTTGCCTGTGCTGTTCCCTCTGCCCACTGTGCCCTTCCATGAGAGGTCTTTGCTTGGCTGGTCTCACCCCTCAGGTCTCCGCTCAAAAGTCACTTCTTAGGGAGGCCCTTCCTGAACACCCCACAGAACACTGCCACCCCCAACCCACATCATTTTCTTCATAGACTTTGCCACGATCTGGAGATTATCAAGTTCATTTACTTGTTTACTTGTTTTGGTTTTCCCGTCACTTTACACACATGGGAATGTGAGCTCCATGAGAACCAACATCTCATCTGTCTTGTTTTGGGATGTGTCTCCAGAGCCTAGAATGGTGCCAGGTACACAGTGGATGTTTAATAGGACAATGAATGAATGAAGTCTCATTTTACTGATGTGAAAACTGAGGCCCAGAGAGGTGAAGGGAGTTGCCCAGGACCACACAGCTCTAATGATTTAAAGGCATTTATTGACCAATAAAAAATGAAAAAATAATAAATAAATAAAAGCATTTATTGAGAACTTGCTATATGCCAGCCACTGTAGCACAGGGAGGGGTAGCATGGCTTAGTGGTTATACACTTGGACCCCAGGGTTCAGGACTCAGCACTGCCTCTTCCTGGCTGAGTCACCTTGGGCAGGTGACTCCACTTCTCTGAGCCTCAGTTTTCCCTGTCTGAAAAATGGGAATCATAACTTAGATAAGGACTGAATAAGTTAATGCGTTCAGAGCAGTGCTTGGCACATAAAACATGTGATAAGAGTATGGTTTTTATTATTATTATTTAAAAGAACTTTAAAACATTATACTTAGAGGTGTGTGCTAGGTGGATGCCCATTAAATAGATGAGGAAGCTGAGGCTCAAAGGGGTGACACCACCTGCCCAAGGTCCCACATAGGAATGGGTAAGGTCTATATATATATATATATATATATTGGCCGCGCCACGCGGCATGCAGGATCTTAGTTCCCAGACCAGGGATCGAACCTGTTGCCCCCTGCAGTGGAAGTGCGGAGTCTTAACCACTGGACCGCCAGGGAAGTCCAAGGCCAATATTTTTAAGTGAGGCTGGCAAATTTCCAAATGTAGGTTCTCAACCTCCAGGGGCAAATTTGACCTTGGAGCTGGGTCCTCTGGGAGAGTTCTGGTTTTGGGGGGGTTCCCAGGGGCAGAGGGTCTGGTATAGCAGAGAGAAGTGAGGCAGTGAGGAAATGCCAAACAGCAGGGAAGAGAGTTGCCAAAAGGGCAAAGGTCAGGGGTCACAGCCCCCAAGAGGCTCCAAGAACCTCTGGGAAAGTTAGCAGAAGTGAGACTTTCAAGAAAAGACGGCACATGATGAAGGAAATACAGAAGCGCAGCGTCATAGGGGAGGAGAAATCCCTTAAGTGCCAGGAATATAGGCAGGGAGGGCGGAAGCTGTCCCAGCCATGGCTCTTCCCAGCTGGAACCCTTGGGGGGCTGGACATCTGGTTGTCCTTGCCGCAGGGGAGGGACGGCCCTGCCAACTGTTCACCCCAGGAAACTGGGCCCAGGGCAGGGCAGGCTCAGGTGTGCTAAGTTGGCCTGGGGGCAGGCCAGAGCTGGCCCTGTGTTCAGATCCTGCCACAATGAGGACAGACCTGGCTGTGGCCCCAGCATGGTGTCTATTGCAGGTGGCCGGACTGTGCCATGCTGCTCTGGACCCAAGGTGGCAGCTCTCACTGTGGGGACCGTGCTGCTCCTGACAGGCATCGGGGCAGCGTCCTGGGCCATTGGTGAGAGTGGACGGACCCCTGCGCCTCTACCCTCCCCTGCCCCCTGCAGTTCCCAGCCTACCTGCCCTCACCTCTGCCTTCTCTGCAGTGACCGTTCTACTCAGGAGTGATCAAGAGCCGCTGTATCCAGGTGAGTAGAGCGTGCTGAGACCCTCTGGGGAGCCCTGGAGGAAGCCCGTACCTGGTGGGAACTCAATGAAAGGATTTTTTGGAATGAACTCGTATTGTTGCTCTAAACACTTCACTTGTCTAACCCAGTGTTTTTCAGACTCTAAATGTGTTACCCGTTAGTGCATCATGAAATTAGTGAGCTGAAAACCACACTTTAAAAAGTATGAAATAGATTAAAAAAATCAGAGTGCATCTCTCTCAGTAAGAAGAAGTTCTGTTAAGCTTTTCTTTGGGTTTTATGAGGGTGGGACCGTTATTCTCTCCATATTACAGATGGGGAAACTGAGGCTTAGAGCAATGCCACAGTTCACCCCAGAAAACAGACGTTCAAGGCTACGTCATAATGTAAAAATGTGTTTCTTATTGCGGAACGTGGTCAAAACCTGTTTGAGAGGTACTGTATGAATTCAGCCAACCTTTTTCTAGCTCTCCTTGGAGGTAGCTGCTGTTAGTATCCCCGTTTACAGATGTGCAAAGTGAGGACCAGAGAGGACATGCAGCTGGTAAATGATGGGGCCACGAATAGCTCTTTTACTGGAGTGGTAGAGAGGTATCTGCATGCAGGTGGCCACACAAATAGATGTGGAAACGCATTGTGGAATGAATGAATCTTCCCAGGTGCCAACTCCAAGCTGCCGTTCTGTGGCTCAGGGCAGCAGGAAGAATGGGGAAGTCGGGTGATGGGATGCATTTTTCACTCCCACAAGCCTCGTGTAGTTCCGTAAAGGACTCAGCTCACATTAAGAGCAGAAACGAGCATCTAGACAAGGAAAGCCACCATCAAGGTCAACCACCACAGTTGACACTTAGAGAGCGTTTACGCGTGCCAGGCACAGGCCTCAGGGCTTTGTAGGTACTGATTCATTAAATCCTCCCCACAGCCCATTTTAATATGGGGAAATGAAGCTTGGAAAGACCAAGTGACTTGCCTCAGGTCACTGGGATTGGAACCAGGCAGCCTGGATCCAGCTCTTGGGTAGAACTACTACACTCTATTGTTTCTCAGGAAACGGCCAAGTGAGTTGCCATAGTGACGGCTAACACATGCCAGGCCCTGGCTGCAGCCTTTGCACAAGAGCCCTGTGAAGTCGGGGCCATTATCATCATCCCCATTTTGCAGATGAGGAAACTGAGGCCCGGTGAAGTGAACTGACTTGTCCAAGTCCGCACGTTGAATAAATGGCAGGGCAGAGGGTCATGCACTTGCCGGAAGCTCGCTACTGCCACTGGGCTAAAAGGAGCCAGGCTCCGAGGCTCCTAGGGTGTGGGCCCCTCTCCATCCTCACCTCATGCTTGCTTCCGGTGCCCTTCATGCTCCAACGCACTGGCAGCTCTCACGCCCTCGAAGGACCCTCCCTGCAGCACCTTCTTTCCCGCTCACACCCCGAGGCGGGTTTCAGGATCTTGCACCATCCCTGCTGGGCTGAGGCTCGCACCTGTCCTGCCCTCTCTGGTTCTCAGAGTCCTCATTTGGAAACTGGGAGTGAGAATTAGAGGAGGTAATGATCCGTGCAACACTTGACTCTCAGCCAACTTGGTTAACTTGGGCTTTTGCGTCTCATGCTTCAGGCTGTAACATTCCTGAGCAGGGCCTTTCTGCCCCCAGGCTCCACACTGCCCCCCCACCCCGACCCCGCTCCCCACAGCCCTCCTGCTGCCCCTGGTAAAACCCTCCTCACACTTGAAGTTCATGATTTACTCCTGGTGAATTTCAGGAGGGCAGGGGCATTTTGTTTACTGCCCCAGACAGTGTCCAGCACGTAGTAGGTGCTCAGGAAACCTTTGCTTAATGAATAAGCATGAGGACAGATCGCCGACATGAGCCAACTTGTCCTGGGCCTCCAGCTGGAAAGTAATTAGGCCACGATTCAGACCTGGCTCTGGCCAACGCCAGCACCGTGCCCTTCCATTATACTCGGGTTTTTCAAAAACGTTGGGAAATTACAAAATGAACAAACAAAAACAACCCAGAAATGATATCCCCACCTCACTTTTCTGGGATTTTCACACCTCTAAATATATCAGACAATTTGTTGAGCAAACCAGGTGACCCAGAACATACTTTTTGCATTGCTTAAAATAATACAAACAAGAATAAAGAGTTTAGAAGTGAGAAACAGTGGCACAGAATATAGTTTTAAAAATACTTGGAGGGGGCATTTGACATTCCCTCCTCCCTCCCTCCCCCTCCCTCCAAATGCATCCATAACGTGATAATTTTTTCCTAAAACCTCACACTTTCTGGAAATCACATCCCTAGAGCACTGAGAAGTCATTTAAAAATAAGAATTCACTCCCACCCACAGTTGGTGTTTCAGACCCGAAGTCTTGGTCTGGGGACTCAGCGGGTGGTGGGCACCCCCCAGCAGAGATACCAGGCATTCCTGGGCCCCCACCTGGAGGCCGTGACTAAGGCGAGCCAGCCAGGAAGCTCCTAGTCCAGGCTGTGGGTGAGTATATTTAGGGTGGGGACAGGTAAGGGTCCATGTGAGAGCCACAGAAGGAGCAGGGAGTATGCAGGTAGGCAGGCCTGGGTTCAAATCCTGGCTTTGCAGGTTCTTAGCTATATTCCCCCGGGCAAGTATAGCCTCTCCAAGGTTCAGTTTCCCCATCTGCAAGATGGGCATAGAAATGGTCTCTACCTTCCAGGATGGTGGTGGGATTCAAAGAACCCCCAGATATGACACATAGCATGGGGTCAGCCCACTGACATCCCCAGGAAACATAGACAAATGTTATTATTACTGTGCCATTATTGTTTGACCCTCAGGAGGGAAGCCCCTTGAGAGGCTGTCTAGGGCAACGTTAAAAGCTTGGGGTTTGGAGTCCCTCAGGCCTGAATGCACAGCCTCTGTTTGCCTTTCTCTGTCCTCAGCAGGATAGGGTTTTCCCTGGAAGTCCTGCCTCCCCTCGTCCAGATCTGTGGGGCTGTGGGAAGAGTGCTCAGCTTGGGTGTGGCCTCACCAAGTTCTTCCTACGAGGATGCAAAATTGAGTTTGCACCAGATTCACGTGCCCAGAACGTGCTCTCAGAACACCAGCCATGCAGGAGGCTCAGGAGAAAAGGGGTGCACAGCCGATCTTTCCCCAGGCTTACTCCTCCCCACCTTCCCCGTCTCAGTCAGTGGCAGCTCCATCCTTCTGGCGGCTCAGGCCAAACACCCTGGAATTGCCCTCAGACCCTCTTTCCCTCACACCCACATCCAACCTCAGCAGACCCTGTGGGCTCCACCCACAGAATCTATCCTAAATCTAAACTCTGTCCCCCCCCCCGCCCCCCACTGCCCCGACCCTGGCGCAGCCTCCATCCTTTCCCTCCTGGACCATCACACAGCCTCCTCCCTGGTCTCCCTGCTCCCATCCCGCCCCTACAGTCTGCTCCCCACACACAGCCAGAGGGAGCCTGTGTACCCCTGAGTCAGATCAGGGCCCTCCTGGCTCAGAGCCCTCCTCTGGCCGCATCTCACTCCTGGTAAAAGCCAAAGTCCTAGTGTCAATCCAGTCTTGTCTCCCATCTCCCCTCCCCTAGCTCACTCTGCTCCAGCCTCCTTGCTGTTCCTTAAACATCCCCCCGTGTCTCCCCGCCCCCCACCCCACCACCTTGGAATCTTTGCACTTGGCAGTTCCTTTGGCCTGGTTCTCTGTTCCCTCCCCTGGCTTCTTACCTCCTTCGCATCTTTTGCAGCTTTCCCTGCCCACCTGTTGGAAAGTGCAACCTCCCCTCCCCTCAATGCCGGCATTCCCCTGCCTCGGTCAAGCTCGATTTACCTCCCTGGCGCCTTCTTTTGTGACACACCATCTATTTAACCTCTCTGTCCTGTTCGTTATGCATCTCACCTATTGGCCTTTGAGCTCCTCAGAGCTGGGGGTTTTGTCTGATCTGTTCATTGCCCAAAATAGAGCCTGGCACATACTGAGTGTTTGGTAAATGTAAATAAATACGGCTAAGGGCTGTGACCTGGCTTAGGTGTGGACAAGGGTCCTCGGACCATGTGAGGAGCAGCCTATGAGGGGCTGAGGGGAGCATCACTTCTCAACACAGTAAAGCCCCAGGCAGCAGGAATCCCCCATGAGCTCTCTCCAGTCTTCCTGTGTATCTCCGCCCTACCTCTTCTCAAAGTTTGTGATGCTGTGTTTGGTTGGGTGATTTTTTTACTGCTGTCTGTCTCCCCCATTGGTGGACTTTGGTTGGTGAGGGCACAGCCCAGGGCTGTCTTGGTCATCTTTATGTCCCCCGGCATCACCCCACACAGGACTGGGCATGGAGTATGTGTCTAGTTAACACTTGTTGAATGAATGAATGAATACTGCATCCTCTGCTTGGAGAATTATCATGCAATTTAGTGTGTATTCAAGGCTCTGACAAGTCCTGCAGAAAAAGATAGCTATTCTCTCTCTTTTTTTTTAAGATTATAGGAAATCTATTTAAATATTTTGGCACTGTGATGTATTAGTCAAGGGTCTTCAGGCTGCACAAGACGAAAGGAAAATCTAAGAAACTGGCTAAACAAAAAGGGAAATGATTGACTCACTTAAGCAACAGTTCTGGGGGTTCTTCAAGCCTGACTCCATCAGGGGCTTTAAAAGTGTTATCAGAAATCTGTTGACTTTCCTCCACATTGGCTCATTTTTCCCCTCCTTGGGGCGAAGATGGGCCCAGGCAGACCCAGCCTCACGTGCCATTCTCCTGGGAGCTTGGTTAAAACAGTTTCCCTCGTCCCAAATCTCCTGGCAGAATTCCAGATTTCCAGCTCATGGGCAACCAGCTTAGGAACCCCAGTGGTAGGAGGAAGCCCCCTGGTTCCCCCTGGCGGGGCAGCCAGAGTCCCAGAGACCCCGATCTTTGGTTCAACTTGAGTCATGGGCCCTTCCAGACGCAGTCACAGATGTGGGGGGCCCGGGGTGCTGCCATCGGGCCTGCCAGGACTCAGGACTAGATCCACGGGGTCGGAGAAGAGGCCGGGAGGGCTCGGGCAGGAAGGCGACCCAGGCGGCGGTCCTGTCACCCTGCAGTGCAGGCCGGCCCGGCCGACGCTCGGCTCACGGTGTTTGACCAGACGGAGGGCACGTGGCGCCTGCTGTGCTCCTCGCGCTCCAACGCCAGGGTGGCGGGGCTCAGCTGCGAGGAGATGGGCTTCCTCAGGTACCGGGGTGCCCCCGGGGGTGGGGGGCTGGGGGGCGGGGCCGCAGGCCTGACCCCTGCCCCGCCCAGGGCGCTGGCCCACTCGGAGCTGGATGTGCGGACGGCGGGCGCCAATGGCACGTCGGGCTTCTTCTGCGTGGACGAGGGGAGGCTGCCGCATGCCCGGAGGCTGCTCGAGGTCCTTTCCGTGTGGTGAGGAGGGCGGCGGGCAGGCAGGGCGCGCACCGCCCCCGGCACGCACACCCCTGCTCCCCCAGTGTGCCTTTCTTGCCTCTTAATTGGCCTCTCTTTTTGTCTCCCCCTGTGTCCCCATCCCTGTCTCTCCCACAGCGACTGTCCCAGGGGTCGTTTCCTAGCTACCATCTGCCAAGGTGAGACCCTGAAACTCAGAGTCTTCTTCTGAGACCCCCCAGAGGGCAGGGCCACGTCCCATTAGACACCCCCAGGCAGGCCTTATCCTCTTAGATCCTGCAAGGATGGGGCTGTGTCTTCTCAGATCTCCCTCCCCTCCTGGTACAGCCATGTCCCTCTAGGTCCCCAAGGAGGGGGCTGTATCTCCTCAGACACCCTCCCCCAGGGTGGAGCCACGTCCCTCAGACCCCTCAGGTTAGGATCGTGTCCACTCACTCTTCTCAGAGTGGCGCATGACCTCTCAGACCCCCTAAGGCAGGGGGTCCAGGCCTCCCACTGCCCCTGGCTGCCCCCTCTCCCACAGACTGTGGCCATAGGAAGCTGCCCGTCGATCGCATCGTGGGTGGCCAGGACACCAGCTTGGGCAGGTGGCCGTGGCAAGTCAGTCTTCGTTACGATGGAGCACACCTCTGTGGGGGCTCCCTGCTCTCCAGAGACTGGGTGCTGACAGCCGCCCACTGCTTCCCTGAGTGAGTGTCTCCCATGGCGCTGAGGGGGGAGGCTGGGGCGCAGCGGGGTCGGGGAGGCTGTGCCCAGGCAGGCTGCCACCCTCCCCTCCTGTCCCTGGTAGGCGGAACCGGGTCCTGTCCCGATGGCGAGTGTTTGCCGGTGCCGTGGCCCAGACCTCACCCCATGGCGTGCAGCTGGGGGTGCAGGCAGTAATCTACCACGGGGGCTATCTCCCCTTTCGAGACCCCAACAGCGAGGAGAACAGCAATGACATTGCCCTGGTCCACCTGTCCAGCTCCCTGCCCCTCACAGGTAAGTCTGGGGCTGTTCCTTGGCCTGGGGACACCAGGGGCCAGGAGGACAGAGGAGGGGGCTAGGGCATAGGAATCCATGGTGATGAGGGAAATGATCTTGAGGGGCACACACTGGGCATTCATTAGATGGGGACAATGGGTACAGCCACTTTGGAAAGCCATGTGGCGATTCCCCAAGCAGTTCAACACAGAGTGACGATTTGGCCCGGCAATTCCACTCCTAGGTACGTACCCAAAAGAAATGAAAACACATAGCTACACCAAAACTGGTGCACGAGTGTTCAGACCAGCATTATTCCAAAAGGTGGAAACAACCCAGACGTCTACCATCTGACACATGGGTAAACCAAACATGCTAGATCCATACAATGGAACGATACTAGGCCATAAAAAGGGATGAAGTCCTGATTCATGGTACACAGTGGATGACCCTGGACAACACTGTGCTAAGAAAGAAGTCAGGCCCCAAGAGCTACATACTGTATGATTCCATTCTTATGAAATATCCAGAACTGGCAAACGTGTAGAGATAGAAAGTAGATTAGTGGTTCCCCAGGAGGTGGGGGGGGAGGCGGGCATGGGGATGTCGGGAGGTCACAGGTAAAAGGGGTGATGAAAATGTCCTAAAATCAACTGTGACGGTGGTTGCACCTTCCTATTGCCAGGCAGGCTAGTACCTATATCTAAAACCTCTCTAAAAACCATTGACTTGGCACTTTAAGTGGGTGAATTGTGTGGTATGTGACTTATATCTCAGAAGAGCCGTTACTGCCCCTCCCCCCAAAAAATGAAATGAAAAAATTTTAAGTACATGAATGAATCAGAAAGTCAGGCGTTATCCGTGTTACGGTTCTCTGGAGCATTTCCTTTGCTCTCAGTGAGATTCACTTGGGTGCCAGGGTGTCTTTAACACCTCAGCTACACATGCCTTTTGGATTAAGGGCAGGCCGTGGGCTTCAGCTTTCAGAAGGCCACTCTGTAGCAGGAATAGTAATAATAATGATAAAAATTTAAAAAAATAGTAATGGTGATGATAATGAAGTTAAAATAACGACGATGGTGCCTTCAGCAGGCAACAGTATGATGACAATAATAATAATGAAAGAATACAATAATAATGATGATAGGATGCACTTCAACACCTGCACGCTCCTCCTGTGTGCGGCCACTGCCCTCAGCACGGCCCAAGCATGCACGCATTTCATTGTCCCAACAGCCCGGGGAGAGTTGGTTCCCTTATGATCCTGTTTTTTCACAAGGGGAAAGGTCCCAACACAGAGAAGATACATAATGCCCCCAATTCCCACAACTGGCAAATGGCAAAGATTTGAGCCCAGGCTGCCCGGCGCTGGAATCAGTGCCTGTGAGCCCCTGGCTGTGCTGCCAGGGAAGTCAGTACTATTTGGTTTGCATTTTTCTTATTTTTATGGTTGTTTTTCTTCTGAATGGTCCATGATGCTGGTTTTCCATTTAAGGGAGCGATACATGTTTTTCTTTTCTTGTTTCTAAATTAATTTTTTTTTGGAGTATAGTTGCTTTACAATGTTGTGTTAGTTTCTGCTGTGCAGCAAAAGTGAGTCAGTTATACCTACACATATATCCACTCTTTTTTAGATTCTATTCCCATATAGGTCATTACAGAGTATTGAATAATACATGTTTCTCTTTTTTTTATTTTTTACATCTTTACTGGAGTATAATTGCTTTACAATGGTGTACATGTTTCTCTTTAAAATAAACCCTTCTCTTTAGTGAATGGAGTGAGAGGGTTGAAAAGATTGAAGTGGGGAGGTATCCACGGGGCACAGGTGGATGGGGTGGGAGGGGCCTGGGTTTGAGACACGTGGCTGAGGGGTAACGGCGCAGGCTTTGGGGTCAGGTACTTGCCAGCTCTGCGATCTTGAGCGCGTGGCTTCACCTCTCCATGCCTCAGTTTCCCTCATCTGTTAAATGACTTCTGAGGCTCATTGAAATGATGAAAAGGGTTAATCTGAGTCAAGAGCCTACAGCAATGCCAGCACTCAGTTAATATTAACAATCATTGCCATTGTTGCTGTGTTTTACTATTGCTGGTTACGTGAGCATTTCCTATTAGCCAGGCATGCTATTCAACGCGTCACCGATGTCTCACTATACACCTCTGGGGGGAAATGATTATTCTTTCCACTTTGCACCTGAGAGCTCTGAGCTCAGGGAGGTGAAGTCACCAGCAGGCAGCAGGTAGGGCTGCCAGGACCACTGGTGTGTGTTGTGCACTGCACAAGGAAGTCATGTGTCAGGGATGCCATTCTTACTGTGGACAGGGTGGACTGGTGTGTTTATTATGATGATTTTTTCGACAGGTGGAAGTCCAGCATCTCAAGATAGTACCTTGTAAAATTTCTCACAGAGGCACCCTCTAGGCAGGGGCAGCCCCATGGGCCATGGTTAAGAATACAGGCTTGGAAATTGGGCCAAGCTGGGTTCAAATTCTGGCTCTGCCATCGACTCATGGACTCATTCTGAGGCTTTGGACAAATGACATGGCCTTATTTTCCCCTCTTTAAATGGGGTACTAATAGCTATTACCTCCCTGGGCTGATGGGATATTAAAGGAACTCACCCAGGAAGGTGCCTGGTACCTAGTGAGCTCTCAGTAGAAGGCAACTTCTGCTGTTGTTGTTGTAAAAGAACAGAGGGAAGGGTGGGCCGGGGGCACCAGGGGCAGCCGGGCTGAGGTCTGTACCAGGCGGGGCAGGCCGGCAGGGGTGGGACCAGCGTGGTCTGTCTCACAGAGTACATCCAGCCCGTGTGCCTCCCGGCTGCCGGGCAGGCCCTAGTGGATGGCAAGATCTGCACCGTGACTGGCTGGGGCAACACACAGTACTACGGTGAGTTCCGTCCTCTGCCTGTGAAGTCACTGTTAAGGGAGACTCTGATCCGGGCTGGGGAAGGGCCGTTGGCCTGCTTGAAGGCCTCATGGCCCAGGGGTGTAGGGACACTAAGGAGCCTGGGTGGGCACCAGGAAGGAAGGGGGGTGTGCATGCCCCCCAGCTTCGTCCAGCCCTGCCTGCACACCCCCAGGCCAACAGGCGGGGGTACTCCAGGAGGCCCGAGTCCCCATAATCAGCAGTGATGTCTGCAACGGCCCCGACTTCTACGGGAACCAGATCAAACCCAAGATGTTCTGTGCCGGCTATCCTGAGGGTGGCATTGATGCCTGCCAGGTGAGGGACGGTGAGGGGCCCCCCGCCTCTCTGGGGGTGGAGACACATGGCAGTGGGTGGTCAGGCTCGCTACCTCGGGGCCAGAGCGCTCTGTGACCACAGCCCACAGTCATCTGAGGAGGGCCTCTCGGCTAGCCATCTTGGCTTCCAGCCAGGCCTTCCGTCCCCCACCAGGGCGACAGCGGTGGCCCCTTCGTGTGTGAGGACAGCATCTCTCGGACGCCACGTTGGCGGCTGTGTGGCATCGTGAGCTGGGGCACCGGCTGTGCCCTGGCCCAGAAGCCAGGCGTCTACACCAAAGTCAGTGACTTCCGGGAGTGGATCTTCCAGGCCATAAAGGTGAAATTTGGGCCCAGATGGGAGCCAGAGGGCGGGAGGGTTTGGGACTCTGAGGGGGAAAGGGAGCCAGGGTTTTCCAGAAACCAGCGCTCAGGCTTAGAAGAGGGTGCCCTAGGGAACGGATAGCCTTCAAAGGGCTCCTGGGGAGGGGAGTTCAGCTGTGGGACTTTGGGGGAAGCCTCTCAGACCTTGGAAGCCCCTAGTTGTCTTTCCCCAGACTCACTCCGAAGCCAGCGGCATGGTGACCCAGCTCTGACCTGTGGCTTCTCCTCGCTGTGCACGCCTGCAGGGCCCAAGCTGCTCTAGGTGGCTCCAGCCCACATGATGGGGTTCACCCTGGGATGGAACATTTTTCTTCTTGGGCCCAGCCCACAGGTCCAAGGATACCCTCCCTCCAAGGTCCTCCACAGTGGCGGGCCCACTCAGCCCTGGGACCACCCAAGCCTCACCCTTCTGACCCCCATGTAAATATTGTTCTGCCGTCTGGGGAGTCCCATCTAGTGCCCCTGATGACAGGATGCTCTTTAAATAATAAAGATGGTTTTGATTAATGTGGTCTCTGAGTTTGCAAATGTAAGCAGCAAATGGGGACATTTTGGGGGGTTGGAAGAGAGCAGTTGGGCCTGGCAAACATCAGACAGGGAGTGTGATCCTCCAGTTCCCGCTGGCTTAAGAGAAAATACCTTAATTGGTTCACCTAACTGGAAATGCTCTGGAGCGTCTGGCTTCAGGTACTGCTGGATCCAGCTGCTGAATATTTTTCATCAGGACTGTGCCTCACTTCCTCTCTCACATCTGCTTTTCTGTGTCAGCTTCATTTCCAAGCAGGCTCCCCTACAGTCAGAGACAGAGATGTCCCCCCAACCCACCGAAACTCTTATATGCCATGGATGACTTAACAGCCACAGTGGAAAAAGAATCCTTCTTTCCCATCAACTACAGCAAAAAAGTCCCAGGCCTGGCTCTCCCTGGACGGATTTGGGTCACATGCTCATCCCTTATCAAATCACTGTGCACCTGTGCATGGGGTGGGGAGGAGGTTTGACCCTCAGGAACGACATGACTTGAGTGTGAGGGGTTCTCCGAAGGAAAGTGGGTTGCTCTTTCCAGAAAAAATGGTTGTAGATGCCCAGTGAAAACAAGACATCCACTGTGGATCATCATGGGAAGCAGGGCCCTGTAGGGAGGAGGCAGAAGCACCAGGCCCTGTGAGCACAACCTGAGACCCTCATCTTGTCATCTGGGCTGGAGGTGGTTCTCAGTTTCCCCTGGGACCCACTCTGTTCCCTAGAACATCCGCAGACCTTGCTGGGACACCAATGGCCACCAGGGGGCACTACTGCCCCCTAAACTGCGGGAAGTTAAGGAGTAGTCTTGTCCAGGTGTTGCTGGACACCAGATGCTCTGCAGGAAAACACCCAGCAGGTGCCTGTTTCCCATGACTTTCTTTTCTCTTTCTTTCTTTTTTTTTTTTTGGCTGCGCCGTGGGGCATGTGGGACCTTAGTTCCCCAACCAGGGATTGAACCCACGCCCCCTGCATTGGAAGCGCAGAGTCTTGACCACTGGGCTGCCAGGGGGTCCCTCCCATGACTTTCAATGATAAAAATTAACTGTGTCGCTCATCAGCTACAAGCCCCCAAGCAATTTCCTAAAACATAAATAGACACAGGAAAGCCCCTTTGAATAACATACAGATACCCATTTAGAAAATGCTCCAAGCATCCCTCCCTGGACCAAACTCTTAGGATTTGGTGATCCCCACCATTACTTTGTCCATCAGGAACTCCCCAGCCCCACATCTCCATGCGCTTTTCCAAACGTCTGCATGCTGCTGCACCGTTCTACCCATCATATCGGAGATATAATTCGAGACTTGACCCACACGCTGCTTTGTTAGAAACGTATTGAGTTACGGGGATGGGGCTGTACATTTCCCTTTGTTGTTGTTAGCTGAAAAATGTACTGTATGTGTGTTTTACGACGTTTGGGGACTCTGAAAGAACATAGTCACCTTGGGGATTCTCAGCAGATATGACCATGTCCTGGGGGTTCCGAGGGGACACAGCTCACCCTGGCAGGGAGGGGGCCAGTCTGAGCAGACATGACCTTGCTCTGGGTGGGACTGAAGAGGGCAGGGCCCCGCCCTGGGAGACCTGAGGGGCTGCAGCCTGATTCTAGGAGACATGGTGGAAATTTGGGCATTAAAAACCAACGGGTTGTCCACTGGGAAGAGGTCGACCAGGGGACCACTCTGGGCTCTGCGCACAGCATTGCTCTTGGAGCGGAGAGGGGGTTGGGAGATTGCGATCCACTCAACAGCCACTCACCAGTCTCCTTTGTTGGCCAGGGGTCGGTGAGCCTGTTTCTCTTCCTGCTGCCACTAACCTTGTCACCCACCCCAAGGAGCCACGCAGATATTAGAAAAATAATAATAACAATCACAGAATTGCTTTGAAGCTCTGCTAGGACCTTGATCTTCAGAAAGATCAAATATCAAATCAAATCTCTTTCTTCCATGTCATTGCTGTGTATCTCCGACCCAGAAGTATTTGGCCCATCTGATCTAATTTATGTAACCACCTCAGGGATACAAGCAAGGCTTTGCGTTCATGGTGAGTGTTTATATCTGAATATTCACTTTCAAATATAGAAAGCCTGCTGGATGTAACTTGGAATGGAAAGCTCCATGTGTGGTTTATAAGTTGGCATTCTCCCCGTCAAGTTGAAGGAGAAATGTACAGTTATTTTTCCACCATGGTTATTCTGCAAGTAAATTACCGCCATAATTAACAATGATTGTGATGGCCACGAAATCTGTATTCAGAAATAATTATTCTGAATGTTCAAATAGTGCTGTAAGTGGAGAATGGATTTTAGTTTCTGCAGAAAAAGTAATACTATTTAAATCCTGCAGTTATTTTGTGAGCAGCTGTCCCAGTTCTACTGCTGCATAGCAAACCGTCCCAAACTTGGTGGTATAAAATAGCAACAAGCCAGGAGGGCTGTGAATCTGCTCAAGGTGGCACATGTGAGGGGGGAAAGCTAAGACTGGGACCGTGACCGGGACATCTCAGGAGACGGTACTGAGCCTCCCACTCCCCCTCGAGTGACCACCCTCTCGGGTGACCGGGCTTGGACACTGCCCCCCAGGATTTCCCTGGGCCCCCAGGGAAACCTGTTGTTTCCAGATGCTGGGGGTCTTCTGGGGATGAAGGTGGGAGGCCTTGACCAAAGATTGCTCAGACTGGGGAGAAGGTGACGGGGCCACTCCTTCATGCTGGGTGGGAGGGAGCCTGCAAAGCAGGGCCTCTGTCCCACTGGGTTTGACCATGTGAAGGACTAGCTTGGGTTTGGGGAGCCAGAGCAGTGGCTTGGGGATCCCCACTTTGAAGATGGAGTCCCCACTTTCTAATTCTGAGCCTCCTCTGTCAGGACAGCCGCCAGTGATCTCCACACGTGCACAGTCTGAGCCCCCTGTCGCCTGCCCTTCATACGTCTTTCCAGGTGGATCTCTCCTTCTGACGGTCCATCCCCCAGTCATGTTCCCAAATGCCCAACTATGAGTTTCTACCACAGACTCTCCCATCATTCTCTGCAGATGTCCCCCTGGGCCCCTTCATCTCCCCAGGTGCACATCTCAACCACGCCCCCTGCACATGCTCCCTGAGGATCGGGGAGGCTGTGAGTTCATCTTTAACCTGCTGGGGAGAGAACTGGCAGGGCCCCGGAAGGAGCGGCGCTCTGCACCGTCAGCCCTCCAGCCTCAGCAGAGCTCCAGTGTGCTCACCTGCGGCTTGCTTGACCCGGGCTCTGGCCTGCTGATGGGGTGGGGAGCTCCTCCAGGGCCTGGATGCCTGTGACACAACCCTGCCCCCTGGGAAAGCCCTGGGGCCACCTCCTCTCTCCTTCCTTGCCCCACCCCCACCTGCAGGCCTGGCCCAGCCTCAGCCAGACCGGATGAGACCCAGCATCCCTGGGTGCTTCCCAGGCCCCCTGGATCCATGAACAATGGGTTGGTGGAGCCGAGTTACAGGTCCCTGCCTGGCCCCCACCTCCGCTCCGGGCATAAGCCAGAGCGGCCAGCCAATCCATGGGGCTACCTTGGGGCTGCTCTGACTGCTGCTGGTGGGTCAGTGGGATTGGGGGCTCTGGAAAAGGGTCAGCTGTGTTGGGTGGACCCCGGCCCTTAGCAGACACCCCGTCCCCTTAGTCCTGCAGAGCCAAGTGACCTGGAGCGAGGAGCTCAGAGGTGAGGCTGGACATGCTTCCCAGCTTGGTGAGGGGACAGGACTGGGGGGGCAGGTAGGGAGGGTCCTAGGGGTCTGAGAGGACATGGCCCTGCCTGGAGACCTGTGGAGACCTGACCCTGACCTTGGAGACTGAAGGGACATGGCCCAGTCCGGGGAGGGGGTGCGCGGTGCTGGAGGGACATGGCCCCGCCCTGGTGGGCCTGGGGGAGCCTCAGTGGTCTTGGTGTCCCCAGCCTCTCTCCTGTACCCCTACGGGCTGGAGCACGGGGACGAAGCCTTTCCTGCTGAGGATGATGGCTTCTTGGAGGAGCTGCAGCGGCAGGAGCCCTTTACACTCTTTGAGTTCACACACAGGATGGCCTGTGTGAGTGCCCTGACCCTGACCAGAGGTCCCTGGGCCCCATCTTCACCCTGACCCCACCCCTGCCTCATCCTGTCTGTATCTGCTCCTTGCTCCTTCTGGGTCCTGGGTCCTGTCCCCCGTCTGATCCCTGACCTGATGACACCCTTCTGCCTGTCTCTTCCTTCCCCACTTCCCCCAGGTCTGCACCAGGGGGCTGGTGTCCTTCAGGGAGCCTGTGGCCCTGTTCATGCCTGAGGCATTTCCCCTGGAGATGGGCCAGGCCTTTGCAGCCCCGTTCTGGGTGGGTGGGTCCACATCGAGCAGGGGCCATGTGTGGTACAGGCAGAGCCAATGGCCTGAACTACTGCAGCGGGCGGCCCAAGACCTGGCCTATGCCTCCCCCGCAGCCCTCCCACCCCACGCGCCCTTCTCGTGGCCACCTGGGACCAAGTTCTCTTTTGGGGGACCCTTGGCCCCCAGGTGAAGAAGGGGATGGGAGAGAAGGACCCAGGCTGGGGTTCTCTGGCCCAGGCCCAGGGAGGAAGGGTCTGCTTCTTGGGCAAGTGGGAGACACCATGAGGGAGAGAGTCAGAGACAGAGGAAAAGAGCGAGAGATAAAAACAGGAGGGAGATGGGAGAAATGGAGAGACAGAGGGGAAACTGCAGGGAGGGAGAGAGAATGGGTGACAGAGAGGGGAAGACACAGACTGGGAGAGAGATGGAGAAGGAAAGACAGAGAGATAGCAGGGGGAGTGAGACCATCAGTTGGAGAGAGACAGAGCGAAAGAGGAAGAAAAGGATAGATGGGGGGCGGGCGGGGAGTGGGAGGGTGGAGGCAGAAAAGGAGAAATAGGAAATAGAGACCGAGGGAAAGCGGGAGGGAGGCTGACACCCCTCCACCCCCTTTCTTTGTCACACAACCCAGACTCTGGCTCCCATGCCCTGGTTCCCGGACTCTAGCC